GGGGGGGGGAGGAGAGAATACCGATATTTTAAAATATTGATCTAATTATAATTATTTTAGAGACTTAAGTCGAGAAACGTGGTCATGAAATAATTTCAGTGTTCACACAACCATAAAGGAAGATTGCGGATGTCCACGAATTCGCTGTGCACAGGAAAGCAAAAACCAGCCAGTTCTTTGGCTGTATCATATTGAGTGAGGAACATCCCCTGTCGAAACAGTCTCCAGAATTATCTTGACAGGGGCTCAAAAACATTTTTTTTAAAGAAAAAAAAAAAAGAAAGAAAAAAAGAAAGAAAGAAAGGAGAAAAAAAAAGAAATCAAGCAAGGACACAAATTTTGATCATTTAGGAGGCGGGTTGCTTTAACTTCGTCTTTTAGGCCCAGCCCAGGCAATGCAGGATAATAATATTATGATAACCATGGTTACTCATACCTCGCCGATCATAATACATTGCCATGTACGACTTACTTGATTGGAAATACCCGATCTTAACTAAAGAAATTAAATATGTGGATCATGGATAATAAGAATGAACTCTCGAATTTCCTTTATCACACTGGCACAAAAGTTCTTTTAAATTAATGTTGGTCCCTCATCATAGGAGTTATTAAAGGCAGGCGGCAGTGGTATCATAAGAGTAATAATTTATGACATTGTACATTGTCTCATGCACTCTTCAGACGCAGGCATGCACGTCATACGGTACGGGTTTTTATTTTACGGTTCTTTCGTGACAGTAAGGTCTGGTATAGAGGTAGGACGTATGAATACCGTCTCTTCCCGAAGGAATTAGGCGAAAGCGCTAGAAAACTCAACTAAAATTTACAAAGAATGCGATGTTAGGGGGTGTGAACTCGAGACAACAGCGCCACAGTCCAGCATGACATTAACAGAGCAAGAGATGTCGTGCCCTTAATAAAAGTTCAACTTTGATGCATGGAAATACCTTCAACTTTTTTGCATTAAAGCATCAAATCAAACGACTGAACCGTGAGGAATGGAAGGGTGTGAGGTGGAGGAGGAGGAGAAACATAGTTAGCCTACCATAATTGAGTCTCTGTTATATTGAGAGAGAGAGAGAGAGAGAGAGAGAGAGAGAGAGAGAGAGAGAGAGAGGGTAAGAGAGAAAGAGAGAGAGAGAGAGAGAGAGAGAAAGAGAGAGAGAGAGAGAGAGAGAGAGAGAGAGAGAGAGAGAGAGAGAGAGAGGCGGAGGGAAATAAGATTAAATGGAAGCTAGTAATTATTGCGATGGTTTAGTCAATTTACCGTCAACCACCAATTTCGAAGGATGTGAACCAGAATCTTTGGAAAGCCTACATATAAGATGGACAAAAGGTAGACATAGCATACCAAAAAAGTCAAACGTGTATACCTGACTACAGGCATAGTAATATACTATTTTACAATCAAAGTGTTCGTACTTGACTGTTCGTAGCGATGTTGTTTAATCCACAGACCCGCTAGGTTTAAAAGGAAAGTTTAAGTCGCTGGAACAAAAATTAATAAAACAAAAATTAATTATGATAACAGAGCTAAACCGCAAACGAGGCTTGCTGTGTCAATGCTTTGCCTACCTCTTTACAAAAATATAAGTACTTGATCAACTTAGTAGTCTTTGATCCAGTACAGGACTGTAAAATAGAACAGTGCACGCCGCGACTGCAATGGTGCATCGTTGTATTGTAAACACAATGATTAGGTCAACACAAGAAACGGGGCGGGAGCATTTAGCGTGGTAGCTAGCTGGGAAGAGTTGGAGGGGAAAGTGTGTGTGTGTGTGTGTGTGTGTGTGTGTGTGTGTGTGTGTGTGTGTGTGCGTGCGCGTGTGTGTGTATTCGTGTGTGGGGGTGTGGGGGTGTATGTGTGTGTGGGGGTGTGTGTGTGTGTGTGTGTGTGTGTGTGTGTGTATTCGTGTGTGTGTGTGTATTCGTGTGTGCGTATGTGTGTTGGGAGGGGGAGGGGGGTTATAGGGTGCATGGAGGTGGGATGTGCTATGAGTGCCACGTGAACTGGGTATGAGGTATCCGCTGCTCTCACATTCTCTTGTTGGAAGCACAAGCTGGGAAACCTTGGTGCACTCTGTGAGAGGACTGGGACATTGTCTGAACTGTGAATGGACGTATTATTATTATTATTATTATTATTATTAATTTGATCAAACAGTGCAGCTTGCAGAAGTCAGCACGCACCATGGGATCTCTCGGTAGACTCAGCTTTGAGTCTTTATGACAAGCAAGGGCTCCGTGTATGAACCGAGTCACTGGTTTATGTAACTACAACGAACATTTTCTGCAATTGTGAAGAGTTCGCTATAACACAACAAGGCCTTACTCAATGTTAGAAACCGTCAACCTATAGTACTGTTCAGTTTGTTCCACCCTGTTGGTTCAGGTTACATATTCCAACACGTGTCACTGAGGATGTAGAGCAGTCAGAGCTTGATTGTCAATCCTTTTGTCACCAGTGCCCAATTTGCAACTTTGAAAAGGCTAAAATGTTCGTACCGCCAACCCATATACAAAATTATACGCTGGGACAATCCACTTGCTGAATTTCCAAGTGGTGCATTGAATAATAATTACTATCTGTCAATACCCGGGACGGTGTCTACCGCCCACAAAAATGACCAAATCGTCCACTAACGGGCGGCGGCATCGCCCAGGTTGGCAAGCAGTGGTGCAGAGGAAGAACGAAGAGGGGAGAAGAAGGCTGCTGGAGTCCGAGGTTTGTCATCTCCGGCGCGTATCGATACGACTAATCAGATTCCCGGCCAGTTAAGGCCAGACCATGACGTCATAAGTATACGTCATAATATTATGTTTCCTTATCAACGTCTGTGGTTGCAACTTAACGACGAGGAAGAACGAGAGCGAACCATAACGGACTGCTGTTTGAAGCTGTTCTTTAAAAAAATAGATTCCCCCGGGATGGAAAGTCACGTACATCACCACGTTTATTTCTGAAAGTCACGTTCCAACAGAAGAACGTTGCAATTATATCGGGAATAGAAGACAACGGCGGTTTTATGTTTGACAGTTCTGAGGAATCATAAAGATCGGCAAAGTCCTTGGAGGGTTCGAAGTAGACTGATAATCACGTCGTTCACTGTGGAGCGTAAGTCCTGTCTCAAAGAGATACAACAGAACAAACAGTGCTCCCGGAACCAAAGATAGCAGCATTCGGACAACAGATGCGTCTAGACGACGACCGTGAACCATAACATTGTTGCTGTTGTTATTGCTGTCGGGATTTTGCTTCTTTTTAAAAAAATGTTCAGTCAAAGAGACGCTTCACAGGTCAAAGGTCAGACCATAACGTCAGGGTTGTACGACTCATCCCTCAGGTCGTCCGGGTTGATGGTGTAGCTCCCAGACGTGGTGGTGTTGTCGTCGTCATCCCTGGACATGCTCGAGGACCGCCAGCTGGTGTCCAGCCCTTTGGCTCTCCGCCACGCCGGGTGATGCGCCGAGTTCCCGCCGTGCGGCGACGCGGGCCCGCCGCTGGATGTGGCGGAGTAGGGCGAGGAAAATGTCTGCAGGAGCTGTTGGTGCTGCTCGGCCTTCTTCACGCGGTACGGACCCTCGCAGTCGTTGTGGGAGAGGGTGAGTCGCGCGCTCGAGTGCTTGATGGGCACGGGCTGAGTGTTGTAGTGCTGGGGCGACGGGGACGGGGAGTGCGGGGCGGGGGAGGAACGCGCGGACGAGGACGACCCGATGGTGCCAGAGCCCGAGGGGTGATAGCCTAGACCCCTGGCGGCGGGGAGACGGTCGAAGGAGCGGCGGATGTAGCAGTGCTGAGGCGTGGTCTGAGGGGATCGGTCCTGCTCTGACAGCATGGGCGTGGGCGAGCCGGGGATCTCCTCGGGCTCTTCCTCCAGGTGCTGGTTCTGGATCTGGTAGTGGTTGCTCTGGTGGGGGTGGAAGTGGCCCCCGGAGACGTCGTTGTTGCCTGATGAGCTCACGCCGCTGCTGCTGAGAGAGCCGCCGACGGTCTTGAACCTGCGCACATCTGGGGGGAAAAGAAGGGATGGAGACGGGTTATTACCTTCCACAGAGAATGTTGTAATTATTATTATTATTATTAT